TCAGGGGGGATACAGCTGGTGCCAAGTCTTTGTCCTCCAATTTCAGTTGTTTGAAGGTGTCGTAGTACATTATCTCACACGAGTTGCCTTGGTCTATCAGAATTCGTTTGACGTCATAATCCTTGATGCGGAGGGTGACGACCAGTGCATCGTTGTGAGGGCAATATATTCTTTCCAAGTCCTTGTCTGAAAAAGACATGACGTTCGTAGGGTCTGCTCTCCCCTTTTTGATGGTAGGTTGAGCGCTTAGTACTTCTCTTAAGTGCTCAGCCTTCTTGATCAATCCTCTGAGCTCGCATACACGCTTAGGTTCGAATACTCCATGTATCACATTGATCACACCTTGAGGTGGGGCATCAATTGGCATTCTATTGGGGTTATTGTGGTCCTGGGGGGCTGGTTGCGTCCCTCCTTCAATGTATTTATCCAGGTGACCGGCAGTTACCAACTCTTCCAGATGCTGTCTTAATGGCATGCAATTTTCAGTGCGGTGCCCCTTTTCTTTGTGGAAGGTGCATCGCGATCTTTCGTCGTAGTCTTTCTGTGCTTCTCCTAGCTTAGCTGGCCATCTGACGAAAGGTTTATCGCGTATTTCGCTCAAAATCCGGTAGATTGGTTTCTTGAATACCGTGGTTATGGCAGTGCGGACTCTCAACCATCTTTTATCCTGGTCCTCTCCGTTGTCTCGCCTGCCTCGTCCGTTTTTATTCGGACGTTCTACCGCGTTGATCTTTGCTGTGGTCTTTTTATCTGGTACTGCGGTCGTGTCAGATTTTGTTTTGGCACGGGCACCATCCTCTTCCACCCTGATGTGCTGATGCACTCTTTCCATCAAGGCCTCCATGGTGAGGGGCGGTGTCATGGTGATTGAGTCCCTTAGTCTGTTTCCGAATGGAAGGCCTCTTTTGTACTGTGCAATGGCGAGATTGGTGAGGCAGTCCCCAATCTGGTTGAATGTCTCCCAGTAGAGACTATTATAGGATCTTAGTGTCTCATTTTCGCCCATGTCAATGGAGAGTAACTGGTCAATCTCCACCAGGGTTTTGGTGTTCGTTCTGAACCTTGTGACGAACGCCTCCGTCAATTGTGCCCAGGAGGCTATGCTGCCTTCTGAAAGTTTTTCGAACCAAGTCAAACCTAGGTCACCAAGGCTTGATGGGAAGATGATGCACATCAAAGCTTCGTTTTGCCGATATACCGCCATAACCTGGCGGAAATGGCTTAGGTGTATGTAGGGGTCCGTCTTCCCCTCGTATGTGGTGAATTTGGGTTGAAGGAAACCTGAAGGAAAGGGCCCGTTTTCGATTGCCGGAACGAACGGCAAGGTCTGCAGCCTTGCTAATGCTTTGTCCGTTGGTTCGTAGGCAGGGTGTGGCAACGGCATTCCGACCTCAACGCTTCCATGCGTCCGAGGAGCCAACCGCTGAAGGGCAGATACCTTGCGAGGGTTGCGCGCCCTAGTATCCTCATTTCATGCTGCCTTTTCTTCCAACATGTTCCGCAAATCGGACGATCTTAGCAACTCCATCTGCCTGGATGATGTCTGGTGCGAGCGCGAGGGTCGATAGGTACTTCCCTCCGTGTAAGACCTCAATGATCTCGTTCTCTCAGACTTGGAGAAACGAGTTCTGGAGGTTCTGGATTGAGTGTCGCCTATCCTGAGGCTTCTACTCTCTGCTTGTGATGGTGTGGAATGCCTTCCACGGTCTTCTGAGCGGCGAGGGGGCGTCTTGTTTTTGCGCCCCTCTCCTGTCGCCACTTCTTTTTCCTTTATCTGGCGCTTCATGGCCTCCATGTCCGCCGCCATCTTCCTTATTAATTTATCTTGCTCCTTCACGGGGTCCTCCAGAACTTGAGGATCAATCCTCCGCCTTTATCTGTCAGGACTTCGTGAACGAGAGTGACGTGGGCTGTTAGTCCGCCTCCTCCCCCTTGTATCCCTCCTCGGATTTTGTCGTTGTGGCTCTAAGTCCGCCATAGGAGGGATAGAAGGTAGGCCTTCACATCTTGCACCCCCCTCTGGTGTTTGTCCGTCGATGGCGGACTGCGGCAAATCTTCGTTGTGCGCCATTGCTTCTAAAGAGGAAAAGCTTGATCAAAAGGTTTTGTTCTTGTCTGAATTCTCACAGACGGCGCCAATTGTGCGGGAAAGAAATAAACCTTCTCGTATAATCCTGTTGATCAAGTCCGCGTTCCTCCAAACGTCGTCGCTTTACTCCCTGAAAACACAAACGTGAGCTAGCCGGCGGGTGTGTGCCGGAAACCCCTCCGATGCCTAAGTCAGCAAAATAGACAAGTAGACAAAAAGCTCTGTGTATCAAAGTTGTGTGTTACCTCTCCATAGGTGATGTTTGTGAGCTTTTATAGGTTCCGTGTGGCACAATCCAAGTAGGACTCTTACTCCTCTATGTAGAGTCCTCATAGGATTCATACTCCTGAAAGATAATGCTTATCCTTCAACACCCCCCTCACTGCTTAAACCAAGTGAGATGGTTCTACCATGGTCGGACTCTAATGTGGCCGAGGTAAGTATGGTTATGCTAAGCCGCAGACTAGACCGAGATAACATTAGCTCGGCTCTTCCATTCACTGCTCTTACCTTGGCTCTTCTTAATGCTAACCACGGTATGTCTAGACCGGAATAACCAATACTCCGGTCCAAACCGGGATAACTTTTGTGAGTGACGACCAAACTTATCATAAGCTCTTTTGCGACCGGAGTAACTTCAGGTCTCTCGCGGACCGGAGTAACTTCACACCTCTCTTGGGCTGGAGTAACTTTACACCTCTCTTGGCCGGAGTAACTTCATGGCATTTTTACTCAGCCCTTCGCAATGTGGCCCATAACGGCCAATTACCCAGCTCGGCCCAATTTATAAGTATAAATTACCCTCTCACCGAGTATTGTAATTTAATTTGGGATTTATGAGGATTGTGGGATCTGACCCGTATATGATTCTATTAAAGATTTATTTTGAAATTAGAAATTAAGGGTCCAAATGGCTTAAGGAAGTGAAGTTAAGAAGTTAAATCAATTTAATGTTAATTATGGACCCATTTGAGAGTTTAATTAAATATTCGTTTCAGTTAGTAAAATTGAGATTCGATTAATTAGATCCTAATTGGAGTTGATCAAGTTAATTAAATTATGAGGATTGAGAATTGTGATTATTATGAATTAAATTCATTTATGGGAGGTCCAATTTGAATATGTAATTTATTGGCAAAGATTTGGTGTCTGATGAAAAATTGAAGGCCTAAATGATTTGGAGAATCAAAATTGAGGATGAAAATATGTTTAATTTAATATTTGGAGCTTTTTTGGGAATTCAATTAAAATCTGATTCAGATTGATAAATTTAATTATATTTAATTAGGCTCTAATAGAAATCGATTAGATTAATTAATTTATTTGGGATTGTGATTAATCATGATTAACTAAATTGTGTACTAACTAATATTAATTAAGATCAAATTGTGTTTAATCAAGTTATGGATAATTATATTATAAGTTAACTCTAATCATAAAGTAAATTGAGGAAACATCCAGATTGTACAAGTGTGTGCACGTGTCAAGAGGTGCACATGTGTGTGTTGTGTGTTGATAACCTTAAGTCAACAAGTGTAGATGGATTCTTCCATGTGTTCTGCTTGGTTGGGAATGAGAATGAGAAGAAATGTGAATTCATGAGTGGAGAAAAAAAAAACAGAGAATAACCGAGAGGGAGAGAGAAGCAGTTTCGGTCCAAGAAGAAGAAAATTAAGGGAAGAAAAGCTTCGAGGATCAAGAGAATGGAAAGTGAATCAAAAACTTCTTGATTTTTAAGTTTAAGGTGTGAACTCATACTTAATTTTGGTAGAATCTTTACATTACACTTAGAAATTGAAGTTCAAATTTTGTAGATAAATCACCTAAAAGCTGGAATTGAGAGATAGTTAGGTTCAATTATATATATTTGAAAAGAACTTAGCAAGAAGATGATGAATAGTAAACTATTTGCATGTCTCATGTTTCATCATATGGCTCACATATTTAATTTCTTATTTTGAAAATCAAGAAGAAATAGAATCCACATGTATGTAATTCTACATATAATGAAAAGAAAAGAATTAAGTCAAGAACTAAGAAATTAATTTGGAAAATTTATCAAGTGAGTTTAATTTGTGTTATTCCTCATGAATTTGGACTTCATCTTTACATACATCAATGAAATTTTAAGAGATTTGAATAATTAATTTCATGTTTGGATATAAGAAGAACAAGTTGTGGTAAATTATAAATTCACGAACATTTTGAGCTTAATTTTGAATTAAAGGGATTTTGATGTAGATGGTTTGATTTTTTTTTTTATTATAATTTCACACATGCAAATACTTTTCTAAGATTTTTATAATTTCAATTTCATAATTTAAGGAGAATGGAAAAGAGTTAGAAAGCAATTTTATGGGATTAGAAGGAAATTGACAAGAAAATGATGAATTGGAGTTAAAATTAAGTTTATGAGAGTTAAGTTAGAAATTAATTATCTTTGGCTTGATTTTGTAGAATCATCCTATAATACTTGAGATTTGAGATTAAATTCATGGAATTAGGATGACATTGGGTTTTAAACATAAAATGAGTTACATGCATTATGAATTAAGGAAGCTATGAAATTAGTCTCATGGATTTTGTAAGAAATAAGGTTTTAAGTAAGAAATTAAGTAGACTCATAGTTGTGGAAATTAACTTGGAAAATTAATCGTTTTTAATTTGATTTTGAAGCATTTTCTTATGATACATGAGTTATTAAGGGAATTGAGCCATTCAAGTTCATATCTTGAAAAGACAAAGGAAATGTTTTAAGAAAATCAAGTTTATGAAAATTTGGAATTAATCCTAAAGTTTTGATTTTATAATTAGATTTTTATTTAATCCATGCGTGTGATGTTATTTAGGAATTTTATTCAATTTAGATACATTTTAGAACACCCATGATTATAAATTAAATATTTGGTTAAAAATTGAGTTAAGTTGATTTTGTCATTAATAGTAAAATTGGATGTATTTGTATTATATACACCATGGAATTTCAAGAGGTTAAGAAGTCTAATTTATATCTTAGAATTGTAGGTTGATATTAATAAGATGAATTAAAACTAAATTTGGGCAATTGGAACATGATTTTGAATGAATGTTTTCTAATTGAAAGTGTTTACTGAATCATACAATGGTTCTCCATTCTTGTGTACCAAAAATACATGTTTTGAGGCTTTGAATATCAAATTTGAACTTCATTTGCAATTCTGAAATTTTCATAATTTACGCTATCCGCTCGAGCGAGATTTCCTCGCTCGAGCGTGAAAATCGAGCTTCTAGAAGTTTTTTCAAATTTTACAGTCCGCTCGAGTGACCAAAGTGGCGCTCGAGCGGAGACCCATTTTCAGCATATTTTGAAAAATTACATTTAGTTCACATTTTTATTCTCATCTCTTTCCAAAGCATTCTAGACATGATTTATGACTCAATAAAGATTAATAAGCTACCAATCAACATAGATTAGTTAGTTGAAGAATGAATCATTGATCTGGTGGTAATTGTTTAAGAAGCCAAGCAAAAGATCAATCTATTTGGAAGAGGAGGGCTTAGTAATGAAAGAGTATGTGAAATAAGAACCCGGCTTATTCAAATGAGAAAGATTAAGCGTAGTAGAACTTCGGACTATTTAGACAGAAAAAGACTAGAAAAGTCAAGTTTGATCAAGGGAGTAATATTGTATTTCAATGTGTATATGTTATGTGCTTGTGTAGGTCACGCGCCATTGTCTGCCTGATTTATCTGATATGTCCAGTCCATCTGATTTGCTTCTGCATCCATCTGTGAGTAATAACTTAGTAAATTTATGTTCAACTGTATCTATTTTCTGTGTGATAAAACAAGATCTGTTTTTCGAACTGATATGTTCTGTACAATGAATGATTGTTCAATTTCTGATATGTATTCGTGACATCCTTAGCATAATGTGATAGCTGCTAGCTGTTACCCGGTATCGGAGGTTCCTTTATGGAACTTGTATCCGTCTGTACTCTGTTACCCGTACCGGAGGCCCCATCATGGGGGCTCAGCTTCTGTTCTGTTACCTGGATTCGGAGGTTCCTTTGTGGAACTGGTTATTTGTAACCTCACGCGTATGCGTTCTGTTCTGTTCTGTTTTGTTAATGCTAATGGATGTATCACGTAAACTTAAGCATGACTTATGATTTCTGTATATGATCTGGACAAATTATGAATTTGATACGAAACTGAATTATGATTTCTGAATCTGTATGGACTCATTCATTAAAACCCTTTACTCTATTATTATTCACTGGGCTTTAGCTCACTGTATTATTTATGTATGTAGGTGATCAGGCGCGTGACCAGGCTTAGAGGCATCTGTCTAGAATCTGTTTTGTCAGCCAACCTATGTGCCTCCCGTGGAGGTTCTGGATATGTTAAGTGTTTATCGCTATGTGATTTAAAGTTTAAGTTTTGTTTTCGTGGTTGAACAAGTCTTGTGTATTTATGTAAATAGGGTTAAGTCCCTTTTTGTTTAATCTGTATATATATGACGACTTAAAGATAATGTGTATATGTGTATGTAAAAAGTTTAAAATTCTTCTGTCTCATATAAGTCTGCACAGCTCAATGGACGTTGTATATTGTTATTTGCTTTCGCTAGCCCCTAATATTATGTTAATTTGTCTCAGAGGCCTTCGATAATCCCAGGATTACTGGCCTGTTACGATGCTAAACCCATAGGGGCAGGTTTGGGTCGTGACAACATGCCATAAGTAGTGGGAGCTTTTTTTTTTTTTTTTTTTCTTGCACATGGAATTAAATTAAATTTTGATAATTGTCACTAGAGGCGCAAGAGATGATTACGAGCATAGCAAATTTTCAATCTTAAGACATGTGTAATATTATCATTATTTAATTTAGATACTTTTGCTGCAAAATAATTTTTGTGTTGCTATCATTAATATCCCCTGCGCATTTGTTTACTTTGTATGTTGAAATGGTTGCTAAGACAGTTGTGGCAGACTTAACTAAGGGAGCGAAATTGGATGGCGACAATTATGACATATGGCGCCGTAAGATCCAATACCTCATCAATGAGCAAGAAGTGTTGACCACACTTGAACAAGTGATGGTTGAGCCTGAGCAGGGCAATACAGCTCAACATCGTCGTGATCTTGAAGTCTTTTAGACTTGGCGTAACAAAGATCGGTGTGCACACTTTACCATGTTGAGCATCATGCACAACGACTTGATTAGTGAGTTTGAGCATTGCCCGAGTGCATTCGAGATGTGGGAAGCTCTCAAGCAAAAGTTTGGTATCACCTCTTTGGCAAAGTTACGTGGGCTGACTATTAAGTTTGACTCTTATCAGAAAAAGGCGCATCACTCGATGAAGCAACATTTGAGGGTCATGTCAGCCATGATACGTGAGCTTGCGGCTGTTGGGTACAATTTGACTCAAGAGCAACAAGTACAAGCTGTGATTCGCTCTCTGCCAAATTCTTGGGAGTAGATGAAACAGAACATGATGCATAATGAAAGTGTGAAAACATTCAAAGACATATCGCATCATTTGGAGCTAGAGGCTGAGCATCTCAAGGCGGCTAAGTCTGATAGTTCTGCTATGGTGGTTAAGTCAAGCTCACGTAAGACTTCTCAGTTCAAGCGTGGAAAAGAAAAATGTGCTCTTAAGAAGCAAGCAACAACTACGCTAAAGCCCAATGGTGCTAGAAATTTCAAGCGTAGGGACAAGAGAGGCGCAAGAAGGTAAAAGGGTAAATTGACATGCTTTAACTACAACAAAGAAGGACATTTCGTTGGGGATTGCCCTGAGCAGAAGAAGGTACTCCCTTACTTAATTTCTTGTATTCAATGCTTTGTTCTAGTCAAGCATTAATTACTCATTCTCCTCATTTTTGGGTTGTAGACTCAGGAGCACCAGACCACATCGCGAGGAACACAGTAGGGTTCGTTGAGTATCGCCGAGTACCTGCTGGGAGCAGAAAAGTTTAAATGGGGAACGAGTCCAGTGTGGAGGTGCTTGGCATTGGCACATACAAGCTGGAAATGCGACGAGGGCATATCTTGCATCTTCATGATGTTCTTTATGCTCCGAATATTCGATGAAACTTAGTTTTAGTTATTAGCATGATAAGCCTTGGTTTTAGCTTTTGTTTTGAGAATAATGGTGTTAGCATTTACTTGGAAACAATTTTTTATGGTTTTGGTTATCTTTTAGATGGTTTCTTAGTTTTGGATGTGGATGATTCTAGTTTTAATAAAAATGCCAATGGCTTTGTTTCTTATATTGCATCTATTTGTGATAATGATTCTATGAGATGGCATACTAGATTAGGCCACATAGGGCAAGACATAATGACTAGATTGGCTAGAGAAGGCCTTTTAGGCCGACTCGCTAGAGTCACTTCGCCTATTTGTGAGCACTATTTTGTTGGAAAGGCAACAAAGAAACCATTTGGGAAAGCCAAAAGGGCATCTATCCCAGTACAACTTATTCATTCTGATATATGTGGACCAATGAATGTGAGGTACGCATGGAGCCCCTTATTTCATCACATTTATAGATGATTGCACGCATTTTGTCCTTGTCAATTTGATTTCTCACAAGTTAGAAGCATTAGATTGCTTTAGACGGTATGTTAATAAGGTTGAGAATCAATTAGACAAGAGCATTAAGGCTCTAAGGATTGACCGAGGACGCGAGTATCTATCTAAGCAATTTAAAGTGCTCTGTGAGGAAAAAAGAGTTATCAGGTAATTGACAATTCCTGGGACTCCGCAGCAAAATGGTGTAGCGGAGAGAAGGAATCGCACATTGCTTGACATGGTTAGATCTATGATGATGCAAGCTAATTTTTCCATTTCTTATTGGGGAGATGCTTTATTGACTATTGCCTATATCCTTAACCGTGTGCCTTCCACATCAGTTTCTTCCACCCCATATGAGATATGGACTAGCAAAAGCCTGACATGGGCAATTTGCAGCCTTGTGGTTCGGTAACATACATACACAACGCTTCTCATAAGTTTGGGAAGTTGGGCCCTAGAGGAAAAAAGTGTTTCTTCATTCGCTATAGTGAGCATTTTAAGGGCTATGTGTTTATTAGGGAGCATCCAGATAGAAGTGTGACTAACGAGATGTGGAATTCCTAGAGGAGGATTTCCCTAGCAGAGGTGAGGTAACTAGAGATGTAGAACTCTATGAGACGGAGGATCTACTTGAAGGTGCACCTAGTAGCCTAGTAGAGAATGAGGAAACAATCCCTCAAGCTTCGAGGGACAATGGGAGCGATTTACCTGCCCATGGATTAGATCCAATGGATGAGGATTCTCAACGGCGTAGAAGCAAACGTAGAGCTATACCTCGTCGTCGTTTTGAGATTGAAGGGGAAGCATTCATGATTGCTCATAGTGATGAGATGGAGCCTAAGAATCTCAAAGAGGCTCTCTCATCTCCTACTAGTAAAGAATGTAGTGCTGCAATGGATGAAGAAATAGAGTCTATGAAGAAAAATCATGTCTGGGACTTGGTTGATTTGCCGCCAAGACACAAGACAATAGAAAGGTATAAGGCTCGTTTAGTGGCGAAAGCCTACACCCAACGAGAGGATGTGGACTATAAGGAAACTTTTTCACCAGTTGTGAGGTTTGTCTCTATTCGCCTAATTCTAGCTATAGTAGCTCAGTTGGACTTAGAGCTATATCAGATGGACATTAAGACTACATTTCTCAGTGGAGAATTGGATGAAGAGATCTACATGGATCAACCAGAAGGCTTTGTGGTAGTAGCTCAGGAGCGCAAAGTTTGCAAGCTTCAATAATCTATTTATGGCTTAAAGCAATCATCCAAACAGTGGAATCTGAGATTTCATCGAGCCATTGTTTCTAATGGGTTTACGATGATTGATAAAGATCACTGTGTGTATGTTAAACGGTCCAAGGACATTTTTCTGATATTGTCATTACATGTGGATGACATATTATTGGCTGGAAATGACAAGGAGATGATTGTCACCACTAAAAGGTGGTTGTTCTCTACATTTGAGAAGAAAGACATGGGTGAAGCGAGCTATGTTCTGGGTGTTTAGATCCTTAGGGATTGCTCTAGAAGACTTCTCGGTTTGTTTCAAGAGACTTACATTAAGACTATCCTAGAGCGATTTCAGATGTAGAGCTGGAAACCCACTGACACTCTTGTTGCGAGAGCCGAGAGCCTAAGCCTTGATATGGGTCCTAAGACTCTTTATTCTCTATAGTGAGCATTCTAAGGGCTATGTGTTTGTTGGGGAGCATCCGGATGGAAGTGTGACTGAAATTGAGTCGCGAGATGTGGATTTCCTAGAGGAGGATTTCCCTAGCAGAGGAGAGGTAACTAGAGAAGTGGAATTCTACGAGATGGAGGATCTACTTGAAGGCGCACCTAGTAGCTTAGTAGAGAATGAGGAAATAATTCCTCAAGCTCCTAGGGACAGTGGGAGCGATCTACTTACCCATGGATTGGATCCAATGGATGAGGATTCTCAACGGCGTAGAAGCAAACGTAGAGCTATACCTCGTCGTCGTTTTGAGATTGAAGGGGAAGCATTCATGATTGCTCATAGTGATGAGATGGAGCCTAAGAATCTCAAAGAGGCTCTCTCATCTCCTACTAGTAAAGAATGTAGTGCTGCAATGGATGAAAAAATAGAGTCTATGAAGAAAAATCATGTCTGGGACTTGGTTAATTTGCCGCCAGGGCGCAAGACTATTGGGAACAAATGGTTTCTCAAAATCAAGCACAAGGCTTATGGTTCCATAGAAAAGTATAAGGCTCACCTAGTGGCGAAAGGCTACACCTAATTAGAGGGTGTGGATTATACGGAAACCTTTTCACCAGTTGTAAGGTTTGCCTCTATTCACCTAATTTTGACCATAGTAGCTCAATTGGACTTAGAGCTATATCAGATGGATGTTAAAACTGCATTTCTCAATGGAGAATTGGATGAAGAGATTCATATGGATCAACCAGAAGGCTTTGTGGCAGTAGGTCAGGAGCGTAAAGTTTGCAAGCTTCAACGATCTATTTATGGCTTAAAGCAATCATCCAAACAGTGGAATCTGAGATTTCATCGAGCCATTGTTTCTAATGGGTTTACGATGATTGATGAAGATCACTGTGTGTATGTTAAATGGTCCAAGGACATTTTTTTGATATTGTCATTACATGTGGATGACATATTATTGGCTGAAAATGACAAGGAGATGATTGTCGTCACTAAAAGGTGGTTGTTCTCTACATTTGAGAAGAAAGACATGGGTGAAGCGAGCTATGTTCTGGGTGTTTAGATCCTTAGGGATTGCTTTAGAAGACTTCTCGGTTTGTTTCAAGAGACTTACATTAAGACTATCCTAGAGCGATTTCAGATGTAGAGCTGGAAACCCACTGACACTCTTGTTGCGAGAGCCGAGAGCCTAAGCCTTGATATGGGTCCTAAGACTCCAGAAGAGAATGAGAAGATGGCTCGTGTTCCCTACGCAAATGTTGTTGGAAGCTTGATGTATGTTATGATGTGTACATGCCCTGACCTTTGTTATGTAGTCGGATTGGTGAGTCGTTACCAATCCAACCCAGGACCAGCTCATTGTGTAACAACCCTCTCTTCATCTTAGTCATGCTCTCATGCATTTATATGATTTTGTCTTGTTAAGCTTACATTTCAAATCTTGTCTTTGTCTTCCTTAAGTGTTACTGCATGCTTTGTTCCTTGCTTGGTGTGAGTTTAGCCGAGCTCATCCTAAGCCTGGGTCGCACCTTTAAATCTCTTCTACCTAGGACTATCTTGGAATCTTTTGGTTAACCTCTGCTCGCACCTTGGCATATTGGCCGAGATGTCACTATCTAGGCCGAGATGTGTATTATCTAGGCCGAGATGTTACCCTTGCACCTAGTGATCTTGTTCCTGGATTGGTATGACCTAGACCGAGGTGTGGCACATCTAGGCCGAGGTGTGGCATAGCTAAGTCAAGTGTTTTCCTTCCTAGTCGAGATCATTGAGACCTTACTTGCCGAAGCCTTGTCCTTAGCTGAGATCATTACATGCCGGAGTGTCTATGCCATCTTACTTGTTGAACACACTTTGTCATAGTTTTGTCTTTTCATTTAGTCACCTTTTTTAGAAGAGCTAACCAGCCAATGCCACATGTCCCAGCAGAGGGTTAAGTCAGTGAGCTGTTGAGAAACACATCATTTTGTATCATATCCTTGTCTTTTAGAGAGAGAAAGAGGCTCTAGGAAGAAGAAGGAGGAGTTCTTAGAGAGAAAATAGATTTTTAAGCTTGATCTTCACACCTTGGGCCGTTAGATTCGTGTCTTGAGGTTAGAATCTTGATCTACTCTTGTTATTCTTATTGTTCATCTAGCTGCATTGTATGATCGAGCACGATTTGTAAGCCATGCATTGATTTAAAGTTTGGTTTTAGAAAGAGAAAGTGATATTCATGTGTTCTTGAATAAAAGCCTTGTTTGATCCGAAAGCTTGCATCAAGATTCATGTTTTCGTGTTTGTCTTCATAAGACCTTCAAGTATGGGTACCCTGGTCCATGTTTTTGAACTCATCTCATAAAATACCAGATTTCGTAATAACAAGTTGTGATTGAGCATTCATGTTTTTTCATGTTCTTCAGCAGAGGGAAACCCAAATTTTCTCGACTTCATTTCCTTAAATGTGGCCATTGGGACCACACCTCGGCAAGGAGGTGTGGGACCTCGGCCAAGACCTGGTTGGTGCCCATTATGTTTTCCCGAGATGAGAAACAGTGTTTTGGTTTTGTTTTGGTCCAACTTAGTTTTGAAGGAATGCTGAGATCATTTATATTAATGTAAAGCTTGTTTGAGAGTGCATTCAATAGACTTTGCCATGCGTTTGTAGGACTTGGACTCTTGCTTTGACCTCGACATCCGAAGAGCTATGGGAGTGGTATTTTTAATAAAGCTATGTTATGACATTTGATAGAGTTTTGCCTTGTTTGTTTTGGAAAAGTATTTGTTAAGCATGAATGACTATCCCTATTTTGTGTATCAAGTATTAGCTTTGGTTTTGATAACATTCTTGACAAGTCCGTACGTGCTAAGGGACTATAAGCATTTGTAGCACAAGTCTGTACGTGCTAAGGGACTATAAACATTTGTAGCATAAGTCCATACGTGCTAAGGGACTATAAGCCTTGGTAGCACAAGTCCATACGTGCTAGGGGACTCTAAACCTTTGTA